TTCCAACCTAGATGATTCTATGATTCTATGATTCTATATCCACTTGAAGGTTGATAGGACTTCAGGTGCTTTGATCATCCCAGACATATGGATATTACATTCCTTCCCAAGCACTCAATACTTTATCATCTTGAGTGAAATGCATTCCCCTACAGAGAGCCAGCATAAAACTTCTAAAGTCCAGGTAAACTGTAAATAGGTCCACTGGTGTATGTGGGCTGCTATGGTGCATTCTCAGTAGGACTGCAAATCACGCTGATCCTGCAACTGAAGTCCACTCTTCAGATTTATAGGCACTTTATTAAGCATCATGTCTTTCAGAAAGCACATCAGTAATATGCTGTGTTATTGAATGTCACAGTAGAGTTCAACATCTTCTGTTTTTTAACTTTAAAAAGCCTCAAGTACATTACGATATGGTAATCAGAGATTGTTTTCCACCCGCCATCTTTTTGCCAGCTGTGGTCTCAGACTGCCAGGAGGATGTCTGTGAAGGGTGCTTGGCTTTGAAATGCGATCTTCCTCTTAATCCCCTGTAGCCTGTTTTGGGTGATGTACCAGATACAGGGTAAACCCTATCTCATCCTTGAGGCATTCTGTGGGACCTGTGAAGCTGGATAAGGCTTTGCTCAGGGGTGTGGTGTGGCAGTCTAGCTTTATGACCAGGTCAGAGAATTTAGTGAAAAGTTCCTACAGAATATTGTTGCTTGGGAAATTATATGTCACCTGGAGCTGGAGGGAAATATGCTAAACTGTAACAAATGAGAATTAATAGGAAATTAACTGGATTCCCATCACCTGACAAAGAAAGGAGATCATCTCACTGTGCTGGCAGCAACCCATTCTGACTGCACTGCAAAAAAGATACCGTGACTTTCTGCACTGTGCTCAGTGATGGGATCTAATACTCGCCCTGTCAACAGAGTAAAGTCTTTGGATTTCCAGGATTTTTGTGACAAGAAGACAGCTCCTTTACTATTCAGTCTTTCCCCGTGAATATGTATATGTCTGTCTGCTTGTAGGTATAAAAATGCTAGATATTGGTAAAGGAAATAAAAGCAGGGTAAGAAGTATGAACAGTTGCTAATGCCTGTAACCATTTATGTTGGCCGTTTCCAAACTTACTTTCCAGAGCTAGAGAAAGATAATCTGCTATGTGCTCAGCCAGGCTTGGAAGGCATCCAGTGGACATGCACACACTGCCTATGTAGAAATTATGCATATGAGACATATATTGGATGATACTGCTGATCTTGAAGTGTGTAGCAGTTTCTATCATGTTAGCCACCTCTGTCTGACAAGGACAGACAGTTGTTCTATTCCCTTTTGAAACTGTGGCAGAGTACAAGCCAGTGTCTTTCTCAATTAGGGATTTGTGTATGACTAGGTTTGTTCTTCGATGAGTTTTACTCCTTTTTTTTCGGTTGCTTTTGCTCTATTTCCCTTAGCCCAAGTTCACATCAGATGCAATAGTGATAAATGTCATGGCTTAGGAAACAGCCAAGAGGACAGTATGACTGAGAAACAGGTTGACAGACCAAAGATGGAAAAAAAAAAGGGGGCAGACAGCTGTGCAGAGGTGAGGTTGGTGATAGGAAGGACTGACAGGGTAGGTGAACTATGTCTTGTGGCTTGGCAACCGCAGTTTATTCTGTAAATTTTTCCCCATTCAGCAGTATAACATGCTGTCACTGTGCTTTCTTATGACAGTTTCTCTTTTGTGAGACTCAAGTGTCTCACTTTCTGAATAGGAAAATTCCCAACATAGATTAGTCTCTGAATAATAACATCTCTGAAGTTCGAGTCTGATGATTATGGGTCACCCTTCCTGTCTCGACGTTGATTTATATCAAACAGGACAAAGCATCTGAGCACAGTGAGATTGAGCCCCTGGGTAGCACAGAAACTGAATCTTTAATTGCCCCCTAAACCAGTTCCCTGGGATGGGATCAAGAGGTTGCTTAACGCCTTGAGAGCTAGGATTTCCCAGCAGTGAAGTGCTGCCACTTTAATGCATTGGCGTTTAGCAGCGCAGTCCTCGGGCTGCCACACCAAGACTGTGGTAGCAGTACAGCTCTGGGGCAACTGATAGGCGTTTGGTCAATTTGCAGAGCAGAGACAAGCATTTTCGTTCATTTAATTTCCTATGGGAGTCCCCGAGAGTTGTGTGGCCAAGTCCCACACACAATTATAAAAATGTCATCCTGCACTTCTGTCATCGTTATTCCTCTGGTCTGCAATAAATGATACTTAATCATCAGATGGAAAACAAATTTTAAAAGTTAAAAATGAAACGAAGAGAAACCCAGAAGCCCAGGGCATATTTAATAGTGAGTGGGGATGGAGCTATTCATTCTTCCAAGGCAGGAACTAATGGGAAGGCACCGAAAATGTCAATATTGTGAGATCGGTTTTTATTAGCTGTTACAAAATCCCTCATTCTTCTCAAGCCCATTATGAGTGGGTGAGTCTCCCTGCGACAGACTCATCACTTTCACTCACAGCTAATGCCTGGGCTTTTGTTGTTATTTATTGTTTACACTACAGATAGGCCAGAGTGGTGCTCCATTGTCTTACTGACTATAAAAATGTGTGTCTTCGTTGCACAGAGGCACTTGAACTTTCATGGAAATACCCGTCCCCTTTCACCAAGGACTGGGGAAAGCTCACGGTGGAGGGTAGGAGGAACAAGTGCCTTCTCTGGGGCTCCAGAGCAGGATCTTTCATCAGGCAGAAAACACGTACATGCAGTCAGATTTTTCCCGTACTGCCAAGCAGTGGTGGTGAGCTGGGAGCGTTTGGATGTGTGTTTCTCTGCAAGAAAGTCTTGATACCCAGTGTGGACTGCCAATACCAGCACAGTTTGCAGAGTTTGCCAAAAGAGAGGGTAAGATGGAGGTCCTGGCCAAATTTCTCTTGGGGAATGAAACTCTATCACCCCAAATTCTCTCTTCAGTTTCAGTTGAACATAATACTCTTCACTTCCTGACCTAAATTGCTGCATTGTGTTGCTGAGCACTCTTAACTAGCTGCTGCCTTTCACCTCAGAGGCATGAGCCCTGTAGGGCTGAGCTAAGCAAAACCTCCTCTGTTGTTTGGATAAGCAATTAGTGGAGTTTTCCAAATGCTTTGGGATCCATCTGGATGAAAGGTGCTGTGTGAATGGGAGGTTGTGTTAGACAGGAAAGCAGATAGGTGGTTTGGCAGCCGGACAAGAATTTTGCTAGTAGCAGCACTGACATTTCTTTTGTTTTTTTCTGGTTACAGAGAAGGGGGTTGTCTCAGGGGCCTTACTTCAACGTATATGGAGAAAAAGGAGGTATGGAGCACCGTGGGTCTAGCCCGTTCCCCGAAGGTCCGAGCGACTACGTCTTCAGTCATCTTCCACTACACTCCCAGCAACAGATCCGAGCACCCATCCCCATGATGCCTATCGGGGGTATCCAGATGGTCCATTCAGTACCAGTGGCCCTTTCAGGTTTACATCCTCCGTCCACTCTGGCCCTGCAGAGGGAGAGCTCTGAGGAGAAGCAAAGAGGAACTGCCGAAATCCTTACAAAAGAATCGTGTAGCATGTCTAAGCACCACGAGAAACGTACCTCTCCGCACAGCTTGCACTCCGCCGCTCCCCCCAGCGCGCCCTCCTCGCCGTTGCTGTTGCTGACGCAGAGCACGTCGGAGGACAGCGTGGTAGCTACCGAGAGGGAGCAGGAGGAGAACATACAGACTTGTACAAAAGCCATAGCCTCTCTGCGAATCGCCACAGAAGAAGCCGTTCTGCACGGGGCGGAGCAGCTGCAGAGGCCTTCTGAGCCTCACCAGAAACCCTTAGAAAGTGCACATTTTAGCATTAAACACTTTAGTGGATCTGAGCCGGGCCAGACCTGTGCCTCAGCCACCCATCCTGACTTGCACGGTGGTGAACAGGACAGTTTTGGTACACCACAGACTGCGTTAGCCCATCCCGCCTTTTACAGCAAGAGCTTTGTGGACGCCCGGCAGTTGGGCTTGCACAGCAGGAGTGACCCCCCATCAAGCACACAGGAAAGGAAAGATCCGTCATCTGAGAAGAGCAAGCCACATTGATCTGAGATGCATGGAGACTTTCGCCCATACATTTACCCCACTTTTTTTTTTTTTTCTAGAGATAGAAGAAATATTCAACTTTACAGCATGCCTGTTCTAAGTTACAGTAGTTTGCTATTATATATACTTTTGTTATATCAAAAGAATTAGATAAAATAACAAGTCATCATGAGCCTGACCAAAACTAAATTTGAAATTCTTATTGGGTCTGGTACTTTTAAATTGTACAGATGTTTGTGCCTTTTCTTTACTTTGCTTATATTCTTATAAGCATTTTTTTAGCGGTAATTTGTACATATTTTAGAATTTGTGTATCTGCTTTGTAATAAATGTAATTTCTTTCCTTTTTTGGACACTTGGATCTAAATGATGTAAAGCAAAACAGCATCAATATATGTGAGGTTGCACTAAAACATATTTTTATATGATTAAAACTGAACAGCTTTTATGTACAGCTCTGATTCTGTAATACTAATATTTATTTACTTTGTTTCATAAATTGTAAATTTTTTTCTTAATGTTGTGGATTGCTTTTCTATGTGAAGCATGGGATTTACTGTTGCGTAATTAGAACAAAATGTATATTGTAAAACAAGATATTTAAACTAGAGTATCTTATCTTATTCTGCACTTATGCATTAGTTAAAAAAAAAAAAAAGATAAAGGATGTATCAGTCAGTTCTTAACTCTTGTAATTTTTTTTTGTCTCTTGTTTGCCGGATTGACTATAACTTAAGTGCTGATTGTGATTTTAAACTGATAGTACCGTAAAGCATTAAAGTAAAACAATGTGCTATTGTGGGTTTTTTCAAAGCTTTATAAAACAGTTATAAATATATTAAAAGTATTTGGTCTTATGTGAACATGTTGATCTATATACTCCTTTAAAAAGCTATGGGAAAACATTCCACCCCATGTAAATATGTGCAAGTGCATCACTGGTGCCGTCTGTGTAACCCCACCGGGACAGGCGAGG